GCGCCTGCGCCCCCTGACGTCCTCAGCACCATCCCTCCACCTCCCACCCACCCAGCGCCTGCGCCCTCACGTCCTCAGCACCATCCCTCCACCTCCCACCCAGCAAGCGCCTGCGCCCTGACGTCCTCACACCATCCCTCCACCTCCCACCCACCCAGCACCTGCGCCCCTGACGTCCTCAGCACCATCCCTCCACCTCCCACCCACCCAGCGCCTGCACCCCCTGACGTCCTCAGCACCATCCCTCCACCTCCCACCGAGCCAGCGCCTGCACCCCCTGACGTCCTCAGCACCATCCCTCCACCTCCCACCCAGCCAGCGCCTGCGCCCCCTGACGTCCTCAGCACCATCCCTCCACCTCCCACCCACCCAGCGCCTGCGCCCCCTCACGTCCTCAGCACCATCCCTCCACCTCCCACCCACCCAGCGCCTGCGCCCCCTGACGTCCTCAGCACCATCCCTCCACCTCCCACCCACCCAGCGCCTGCGCCCCCTCACGTCCTCAGCACCATCCCTCCACCTCCCACCTACCCAGCGCCTGCGCCCCCTGACGTCCTCAGCACCATCCCTCTACCTCCCACCCACCCAGCGCCTGCGCCCTGACGTCCTCAGCACCATCCCTCCACCTCCCACCCACCCAGCGCCTGCGCCCCCTGACGTCCTCAGCACCATCCCTCCACCTCCCACCCAGCCAGCGCCTGCGCCCTCACATCCTCAGCACCATCCCTCCACCTCCCACCCAGCCAGCGCCTGCGCCCCCTCACGTCCTCAGCACCATCCCTCCACCTCCCACCCACCCAGCGCCTGCGCCCCCTCACGTCCTCAGCACCATCCCTCCACCTCCCACCCACCCAGCGCCTGCGCCCCCTCACGTCCTCAGCACCATCCCTCCACCTCCCACCCACCCAGCGCCTGCGCCCCCTGACGTCCTCAGCACCATCCCTCCACCTCCCACCCAGCCAGCGCCTGCGCCCCCTGACGTCCTCAGCACCATCCCTCCACCTCCCACCCAGCCGGCGCCTGCGCCCCCTGACGTCCTCAGCACCATCCCTCCACCTCCCACCCAGCCAGCACCTGCGCCCCTCACGTCCTCAGCACCATCCCTCCACCTCCCACCCAGCCGGCGCCTGCGCCCCCTCACGTCCTCAGCACCATCCCTCCACCTCCCACCCAGCCGGCCCTGCGCCCCCTGATGTCCTCAGCACCATCCCTCCACCTCCCACCCAGCCAGCGCCTGCGCCCCCTCACGTCCTTAACCACCAGCATTTCTCCACCTTCCACCCAGCCAGCACCCCCGCATGTCTTCAGCCAGTGCCTGCACCCCCTCACATCCTCAGCACCACCCCTCCACCACTCACTCAGCCAGCGCCCCCTCACATCCTCAGCCAGCACCATCCCTCCAACTCCCACCTAGCCAGCGCCCCCTCCCGTCCTCATTCAGCACCATCCCTCCACCTCCCAACCAGCCAGCACCCCCTCATATCCTCAGCCATCACCATCGCCCCCTCACATACCCAGCCAATGCCATCCCTCCACCTCCCACTCAGCCAACACCTGCATCCCCTCACCTCCTTAGTCAGTGCCATCCATCCACCTCCTAGCACCAGTGCCCCCTCACGTCCTCAGCCACCACCAGCACCGGATCACGTCCTCAGCCAGCGCCATCCCTCCACCTCCCACCCAACCAGCGCCCCCTCATGCCCTGAGCCAGCGCCATCCCTCCACCTCCCGTACAGCCAGTGCCGGCAACCCCTCACATCCTTAGCCATCACCATCACCCCCTCACGTCCTCAGCCAGTGCCATCCCTCCACTTCCCACACAGCCAGCACCAGTGCCCCCTCACGTTGAGAGCCAGCGATAGCAGTGAAAGTCACAGTCTTTTAACACAACCATGCAGAGTTGTCACACAGATCTACCAGCGTAGCCAAGGTGGGCTAGTGGATTGATTCCTGGGATTTTGCATTTTTGTGACCCTTTTGTGAAGCTTTTTTAGTTTGTGTTGAAATCTGTTCCATAATCCCCATTTCACAGACAAATTATGTGTGGTCCTTTATGAAAATCTGTTTTCTAATCTATGTGATAATATTGTTTTTTAACTCCAACTGTTCTTTTCACATTGAGCTTGTCCTAGTATGTTGATACTCATGTTTATGAAAGAAATCAATATGTCGTTTGAAAACATATTGGTAAAAGCCCAATTTCCATTTCCTTCTTCCATTTTTTTACCCCTCCAATCTGTCCCACAATCCCAAGTGGAGCCTCTTTGGCTGTTTTTCTTGTTTCTTGTTTCTCAGAGGAACTGTACTCTGCTCTACATGAAGTGTGAGGTATGGAGCAGTTCCCTGTCTTCTTCCACATAGACGTACACGTGGATTTTTTTTAAATACTTCCTCCTGTTGCACCCTATTTGGTAGGTTCCTTCATTCCCTAAATTTCCTTCCCTGAAATCTAACAGTCATGTACTGCTGTATTCTGTGCTCCATCCTTTACCAAGCTGAATCCAAGTAGCCTGTAATCACAGGTTCAAATTTCCTTCTTATCCTCATATTCCCAGCTGGTTCCTCTCTGTTGATAAGAAGTAGAGCTATGTTGGATTCTCTGTCATAAAGCTGTTTTCTGATTTACCTGGGCACATGTTTGGTACCCATGCCTGGGTGTCTGTCATGCAACAGATGGTACTTGGGTAGTTGCCATCCACCTAGACCATGGGTCTGAGTACTTCAAATTGGTCCAGGAATGTTTCATTGTCTGTTTCCTCCACTTCTGCCGGTCTATAGCAGCTGTTTGCGGCAGTTTCTTCTCTAACTGACATTAGCACTTGCTTATAGCACAGATATCTGTCATAAGAATGTCCCCCATGGATGCAATGTTGCTGTTTTCCTTTCCCTTGCTACTCTATAATCCTGTATTAGCACAGGAAATCACATAATGTGCCTGTATAATGACCACCTAACTGGGGACCCTCAATGCTAAAAGAATAATCCTCCACTGCTTCTGAGCTACTTGAGTAGTAACTCCCTGAGCTGATAGCTTTAGTAGACTTTTAATCTCTTATATGAATCAGCCACTAGAGGGAGACAAAGTGACAAATTGCTAGTATGAGTTACACTAGCCTGTAGTGTCACTCGTGGATTAATATTAATTATATCTGTAACTTCCTTTCCCCTTTTAATCTGTGAGCACTAAGCCCCATGTAATATGTACGTGGTGTGACTACCAGTGGGAAGGTATTAGAATCGTAAAGCAGCACAAATGGCATATTTCCTTTTATTTTTAATAGGCTGTGTCACAGCGCTGTGGTGTCACCCATTACAACTTGCTGAATGACACAGCAAGATTTTCCTGGAGGAGAGAGAAATTGTGAGAGGTGAACAAGTCCATGTTTCATTCAAGAGAGGCCATTAGGCAATGGCACATAGACCTTGTGCTGGCTTGCTGTACGGAGGTGAATGCACCCTCAGAACCAGGTGCCCTTTACTCTCGTGGCCTGTAATGGTAGCAGCAATGGCTAATGAAAAGGAATAAATATTGACCACAGCTATAACTGCTGTTTGGTGAATTTGTTGTGGGAAATTCACCCTTGCAGCCAGGACAGCAGTGTAGGAGAGAAGCGGACGTCGCCAAGGGAAACATTTTTGTTCTACAGGAGGGTGGAAGCAGCTGCAGGCTTCCAGCACCATCCTATACGGCTGTACTGACAATGCTTCTTAGCTCCGTCCTGGTGGGTTCTCCTTGCACGCTGAGCATGTGTGGGAGGCACGTGTGGGGTGCGTGGGGAGGGTCATCACATCAATGTTCTTAACACTACAACCCACTGAGCAGTGAAAAGGACATGCCAGCATGGCAGGATCACATTGGCTGGTGAAAGCACTACTGTGCATGAGGTGGCCTCCAGCTAAAGAAATTCCACTGGCAGGGAGCATGTTCCGCAGGGCGTCGCTGCCAGTCCATTCCCCTGACTGCCGTCATTTATTACAACCAAGTAAAAGCCATCAAGAGCTCCCAGCCTTTCCAAGGTGCACTTCCTGAAGCATTTGTTTCTCATTTTGGTCATGTAAGTCCCCAAGCACACCAGTATTTTATCTGCATTTTACATGGCAACTTGAAAAGGAGACTCAGTGAGGCCGCAGCATATTAGCAGCATTGCTTGGACCCTGTTGCAGTGGTAATCCCTGTAGACAGGGAAAGCTAATTGGAGTGGCTGCAGTGAGGGTGGGTTAAGTTTACAGGCACTGGTTCTTAGAAACCAGCTCAGGCAAAGACCTTTTGTCTGATAAACAAATCGCTCTGCATTAAATTACAAACTGTGAGAGCTCTCCGGTCACCCTGCACATTTGGCAAGGCCAGGGGTGCAGCTGCATGCTCCTCCTGGCGTGACCACTGGTGCTGCTCTCCTGCAATTAATGGGAAAGCTTACACCTGGAGTTCATTAGCAGCCCTTTTAAGCAGCTGTAATGAATGTGAGTGCTAAGCCAGAGACAGACCAACAATCAAGTCTGCCCACTCAGTGAGGTCTCATCAGCAGCTCATTGTATTTGGCTAATCTTGTCTTCTCCCAAGCGTCCTCTGCTGGATGTTTCATCTTCCAGATGGCCTGGACCTGGAAGAATCTTTATGTTTTAATTTCTGTTCAAAGCTTTCTCTCGCCCTCGCCTCCATCCCTTCCCCAGATAACAACATGACAGGCTGACTGCAATGCCTGCATCCCCTTTCTCACTACTCCCTGGCCGTGCCAGTTTTGACTTATCAAGTTTCACTTTCATGTGATGATAAAAAAAATTCCCCCAGCAGCCGTTTTCTATCATTTATGTAAATTTTCCTTCAGCCTCTTCAGCAAGTTTCTGTTGTTAACTCCTGGGCAGACAGTAAATCAGTCTGAAGGATGCGTGGTCCATGAACTCCACTTTACCAGCTTGTGTTGCCATTGCATTATATCTTGTCCTCTGACTCCATTACCTGGTAATAAATCTCCTCTCCACACCTTGCTCCTGTACTGCAGGTCTGTACAACTCCATGGATAGCTGGATGATTGTCCCCAACATCAAACAGAATCACTACACCGTGCACGGGCTCCAGAGTGGCACCAGATACATCTTCCTTGTCAAGGCCATAAACCAAGCTGGGAGCCGGAACAGCGAACCTGCCAGGCTCAAGACAAACAGTATGTGCCAGGGCTTTTTTTTCAGGTTGGGTGGGAAGTAGAAAAGCAGCTTTATCAATCCTGGAGTTTAAAAGGATATTGCTGAGATTTTCCTTAACTCTTTAATTGCTGTGTCTTATAACCACCCTTTGGAAACTTGAAATCTTTGTTTATTGTTTCCTTGCTTGACTTGTTTTTAATTCCCATCATACGCACAAAACACAAAGGCCAGATTGCATGTGAGCCCTGGGCACTGCATGCTAGCTGGTGTCTCTAGGGTTTCCCCAGAATGCTAAGCTGCGCCCATGTTGCTAGTTGGGTAGGGTTTGTTATTGTAGGGTTATTCATGAGCTCCTTTATGCAAACACGTCTGTCTTTACTGTTCCGTCGTCCCCAGTCCCTTCCCCTCCATTCAGCTGTTGCATACTGTCTAAATCCTAGGCGCTGGGACAGGGACTATTTGGGCAAACGTTCAGGTCAGTTCATATCTACTCTGAACCCACTTCTCCAAACCATATCCAGAATTCTGGCTCGGTCAAGAAGCGAAAGTAGCAGAAATCTGGTTGCACAACCTGTTCTTAATGAGCAGATGAGCATCCCACATTTTTGGTGCTTAATAAAGTCAAACCTCTTGAAATTGACTTCTCGCTTACTTCTGAGCACTGAGCTTGGTGTCTACTGGTTTGTTAAGAGAGGGTCACTCATGTGAATTAGGCTGCTCACTGGCTTATTATTGTGGGGTTATTTGGGAGGACTGTGAGGCATGTGCTGGTTTGTTATCATAGAGTTATCAGGAAAAGAAACCTGAAAAGCATCTGTATGGGAAATGTCATGGGCTTTGCCAACAAACATGAGAAAAAGGTTAGTTCAGACTTTGGTTCTCCCAACTTGAATTCCCTCAGAGGGGAGGGAAAGAGTTAACAACATTCTAAAAACGGAAGCGGGATCAGACCATAGGCCCATTGACTTCAAAGGGAACAGGACTGGATCCACTCTGGCCGTGGAGAAGAACATGATATGGGGAGGATTCAAACCTCATTGCCCATTAGCTCAGTAACACATCCCGCTTAGTGATGATTTGTAATACAAAAAAAAAAGTCAAAATATCGGAATGGACAGTCGGTTTCCAAAGTAGTTGCAAGTGACTTATCTCTTGGCTTTTGTCCAGCGCTGCCTGATCTGTGGCCATGTCTTGTTGATGATTATAAAATTCCTCCGTCTGGTCCCGACGTGCCCAGAGTTCTTTTTTGTTCTCTTTTCTTGATGTTTCAATCATGTCTGAGTTCTGCACTTGACTAGGCTTTTGAAATGATTTATTGCTTCTACCTCCTCAATCTTTTCATGGAACCGTGGCAACTTTAAATACAATGAAATTAAATAAAGTCCATACATTGCAGAGAATGGATAGACGCTGATGAAAAACAAACTCCAATCTAATTCTCTTTTGTTTATTAAAAATGTATCCCTCCCTCCAAAGCTGTTTAAAAGTACCCTCCCTGCTTTGAAATACACTCAAGATGGAAATAAGAAATTGGTGACGTGACAGGCCAAGAGCTGATATGACAAACCTACTCAGAAGAAAGGAAAATAGGTTAGTTTCAGTAGCTCCCTGGGGAGGCTGCAACTTGTTGTTTTATTCAGTGTCAGTCATCAGAGATATTAGCGTGCTGCTAAGTGCAGTGCTTTACAGACGAACCTGATTTACTGAAATATATACCGGATCAAATTTTTAATTCTGATTGTTCACTCTCTGTAGCAGCTTCCTACATTTGTCAAACTGTAAAGCAGGAATTGCATAAAGTGCTATAAGAAGTGCTCAGCATTACTGTTATGCATATTACAGAATGAATCTCTAACATTGGGATTGTATGATCATTTAAATGATCATGCATCCCCAACCCAGCCGAAGGATAAGAGAACAGCTAAATTAACATTAAAACATTATTTGCATATGTTGCTACAATATCTGTCTGGAGCCAACCTTAGCTTCAGTGTCACCTTGAGACTTCTACTGTAACTACCTGTTTCCACGTGTTCAAAATGTGAACATCTCTCTTTTGGTTAACATGCTCTGTGCTTGATGTCTGTCAGTCCTAGTTTTTGGAAAGTTTGAGCAAACTGTGTCTACCTCATTTTGCGTAAGTTCGGAATGATGATGTTAATGAAAGCACTGCCACTTGAGAGCCAGGTTACTTCTGCTGAGAGGCAGGAGAGCCTAAGCACCTCATTAGCATGATGAGGACTGCACGTCTCTCCAGACAGTCTGTGCTCCTCTCTACCCCTCATTTACTCTGCACCCTTGAGAGCAAGGCAACAGGCATTCGGGGGACTTTGCACTTCCCTGTGCGAGAGCCAGACTGCCCCTAACATGGAGCTTGATTTGCAGCCATGTGCAGTCTCCCCTGGAGTTCAGCAGTCACGTGCACCACACAAGGATTTGCAGGCTCACCTGTGTGATACCACAGCTCTTCTCAAGGCTTAGAATGGGAAAGAACTGCAGGGAGCCTGTTGGCTAATGTTAACTTTGTAATAGTGGCCACAGTCACTCACTCTACATGCCCTTGAGTAAACAGGGGAGCTGAGAGGGTAAAGCCTAAAAATTGTCCATAGGAAGCTAGAACAATATTGCACAATGCAGGCAGTGTCCTCTTACAGCGCCTGTGAGTGGCCACAGTACCATACTGAGAGGGCCTTTGAGAAGGAGCATATATCAGGCATGGGTATAATGGCGATTTGGCTTGCTAAAGAAGGGGAGGAAAGCCAGGTGACAGCCAAAGCAGGAGGAGAGCATGCAGGACATGAGGAGGAGGGAAGACTTTACCCTTCAGTCTCCCTCTAATTCCCTCTTCTTATATGTTAATCTCTGCTCCGGTCCTTTCTCATGTGCTTGGGGCTGTACAGTATATCAGCGGACACACAGGGAAAAGAGTGGACTGAGTTCTCTTCTAGGGGCTGCTAGCTGAGAACTGAGAGGTGAGGATCCCACCAGCCTGGTATACAGATCTAGAGAAGAAAGAGCAACATATTAACCATGGGAAAGGTATTCTGATTGGCAGGGCTGAGAGCGTTGCTCAACACTTCTCGTTATAAGACCCTCTTTTCAGCGGCTTTTAACTTTGCCAAGCTTTGACCATTTGGGCTGAAATTTCTCATGTCGTGTGTGGCATAGGCTGAATTTTTTTTCTTCCTTTTATGCTAAAAAATCCAGCATTTCCAAGAAGAAGGCTGGGGGGAAATAAGTTGTTTTGCCCATGTGAAAAGATCCTGGCAGCCTTTCCCTGAGATGTCTATGCTTTGGAGCAGGGACTTACCATTTTGACAGGAGTAGCCTTTGTGTCAGGGCTGTGCTTTTTGATGTTCCCTGTGAAAATCCACCCAAACATGGCCATTGGAAAAATCTCAGGTCATACCTGCTCAGTAGAGACTTCTTCAGTTCTAGCAGGTAAAATCTCCAAAAGACTGCGTCCACACTGGGCATGCTTGGGCCTCTCACAGCTCCCAGTGCTGACCAGACTGCATGTATGCCATGCCCATGGAGCCAATGAGCATATTCCAGCCCTGGGCTACAGGAGCAATGCTGGACTTTCCCTGTAATGCCCGCTCCCAGCTGCCTTGGGCTGGGGTGGATCTGGGCTGGAACTGAAGAGCTGGGAGCCTGTCTTTCCTATGTTCTCAGTGACCCTCCTATTGGAGCCCAGGCAGGAAACAATCTGATGTGAGTTCCCAGACGACAGGGCAAAAGCTGGACTGGGGCAGGGAAAGGAGTAGTTTGGGACAAGCAATCTAATGGGATTGGAACTGGAGGCAGGGGGAGGAGAGACACTGTGACTGGGAGCTGGAGGTGCAGAGATTGAACCTGAGTGCAGGGAGGGGGCAGGTTGGGACTGGTCTCATGGTTAAAGCAGTTGAATGCAGCCCTGGAGAATTGGATTTTATCCCTGCCTGTGCCACAGAGCTCCTGTGTGATGCTGGGTGAGTCACTTAAACTGGTCACTGTCTGTTCTTAATTTGCTGGGTGCCCAACTTGAGACCCTGGTGTCTGATTGCATTAGTGCTGAACGCCCACAGCTGCAACTGAAGTCAATGGTAGCTGTGCTTTGAACATAAAGTTTTACATGTGCTATGAAAAATCAGGTCCAGGGTGTCTCGGATTGGGTACCCAAAATGGGTACTTTAATCTTTCTGCCTCAGTACCTCGTCTGTAAAATGGGGATCTTACGGGGGTGTTGTGAAAATAAATTAATGTTGATGAAGCACTCGGAGAGTGTCGTGATGAGTGCCTCAGAAAAGCACAGGAGGAAATTAATGATTCTGCCCTCACAGCAGGGTTTGAATAGTGTGCAGTAAATAAAGCAGAAGGCACACACTGAACAGTGGGAAGGGGAAAAAAATATTGAATAGCTGCTAATTAAGTGAAGGAAGAAAGGGTCCTGTGGGAAAAAAAATAGTATGTGATCATGTAAGACTGCGTTATAAAGCATAAGCACAAAGGGGCTGAATTAAGGTTGCACAGGCGACCATAATTGTGTCATTTCCCCACTTTTCAGTGATTGACTTTGAAATCTTAGTAATGTCCTTTTAACATAGTTTATCTGTGTTTTTATTTTTTTTTATATAACAATATATAGTAACAGATAAATAAACTCCACTATGTTGCTATTTCCTGAGCATGCAGAGAATGAACAATGCCCTGCGAAGGAACCTGTCTCTTTAAGGTTCTCCTGTGGGTCTTAATAGGCCTATTTGCTGCACACTACAAACAAATGTATTGTTCTTTGTGTATGAAGAGCCTAACACTTTGTATTGGGTTTGTAGTAGCTCACTCTTTGTTATTTCTCCTTCCTGTATTTGTCAGTGTAGAACCCTGTGTGTAGCAATTTATTATAGTTCTTCAAAACAGCCAATTATAACAGAGCACACACTTCACAAATGATGTCACTTCAGAAAAATGTCAACAGTCGTACAAGAAAAGAATGACCAGTTAACCTATTTTGGATTCTACTCTCTGCTTCAGAAATGGT